TATATTCAATAGAGCCCCACCCAAACACCAAAACCCCTGACCCTGGTGCCATGAATTTCACAATTTTGGAAGAGGCACTATTGCTCTTCATAACTATGTATTTAGTTACTTTATTTAATACCCAGGAGCAGAGAGGAAGATTTTCAAAGAAATAATGCACTTTCACTATATGATCTTTATAGCCCCCCCCCCCCCCCAGCACAAGAACCCCTGACCCTGGCCTGGGGCCATGAATTTCATAATTTTGGTAAAGGGCTCAATGCTTATTACAATCATGCCAGCAGTTTGACTGCTTGATGTCCAGGAGTAAAGAAGAAGATTTTTAAAGATTGCATCAATTTTGGAGGTTTTAGCCCCACTCCTCAGCCTCCCCCCCCCCCCCCGGGGGAGGGGGGCGGGGACCATGAAGTTCACAATTTTTGTTCCCCTTCACCCATAGATGCTATTTGCCAAATGTGGTTGAAATTGGTTAAGCGGTTTCAGAGAAGAAGCTAAAAATGTTCAAATGTTAACGCACGACGCACGCCGACGGACGAAAACGGATAGCAATAGGTCACCTGAGTGACTCAGGTGACCTAAAAATATATGATACACTTTTTCTACTTTGATTTTTTTTTTCTTTGGTCTCTTTCTTGTGGAAATACTTTAAAATGCAAAAAATATATTTTTGCGACTGATTGATGCTTTGCATCGACTTAAGGACATTGGCAAGTCAGGGTTTTCCGGAGAAAAAAGGTTTAATACTTGGGTTTTTTCACTTATGAAATAGGATTGAGTGATCTCCCGTGTTGAATTCTCCAGGCGGTGAAAACCAATAAAGCGTATGTAATAGAAGTAAACAAAAGCACATGTACTTTCTTCAACGGGTAGAATTATCTATACAGCAAGAAAGAAAAGTAGTAATGGATTTGTTGTACATTGTATTCAGGGATCAAAGAACTACCAGGTTGTCATTTACCATAATTATGCTCAGTATGCTGGGAAGGGCAAAGATGTGACATATGCTAAAAGGTAGAGCGACTGAGATCAGTTCTTAGGTTGTATGAAGGAAGCAGCATTTAGTAACTACGAATAGAAATTATAATCAATTCATGCCAATATTTTATGACAATGTGTTTCAATCAATATAGTCAATTACATGACAGAAACAATCAACCAGTCTGACTCTCAGAGTCTCTTGACCATTATGAATGATATGTATACGTAATTATAGCTTTTAAGGGAAGCAACTCAAACAGAAAGATCGGTGCCGGTATGTCCTTGTCTTGTTTCTACATATACATTTTAAGTCAAAATATCTAGAAGTCATCGGAAATGAGGATACAATTACAATAATGTATTATGTAGTACAAAAACTATATGAAATAAGTGGGTTTTGGAGAAGTATTATGGTGAAAAATTATGATGGTCCCTTTTTATCAACATTTTACATAGGAAATGCATTGAGAATTGCAAAAACACTAATATGACAAAATCTAAAAAAAGAAGGTTGGCTTGGTAAACAATCCAGAATATAGCCTATTTAGTGCAATTTAACCTACTCAAGAGTTCTTGAAAAATTCTATACGATAACCAGGAACCTTGCCAATGTCCTTAACTTGTGCATGATTTTTTGCGCTTTACAATTGGTCTAGGCATTTTTTAATCTGAGAGTAGAATGCAAATGGCTGCCGTCGAAGTCAAGTTTCTGATGTTACAGGTATTTCTATCTTTTGTAAGTCGTAAATCACAATATTACAGAAATATTTTTCATAAAATGAAATCAAATATAGGTCCTTCTTCAAAATATTCAAAATTACAAAGACATGCAGCAGTAGAGAATATATTTCAAGACGTACATGTATATATCAACATGATCAAGATTAGATATAAAATAATTACCACATGGTTCGACATGATTCCGGATTTTTCTTCCAATACAGCAAACACGCGTACAAACGGAAGTTGAATATAAATCTCGGAATCCCGGGATGTATTTTCTACCGCTAAAGAGGGATAATCGCGCTTTCGCGATACATTCTCACTACAGGGGAATTATTCCCAACCTAATTAAGGGGACATGGGAGAGTAGTTGAAAAAAAAAACGCCATTACTTGACAAAGTGCTGTTTTAACTAAGCACTCACTAACAGCATAGCTAACCAAAAACTGTCACAGATACGGAATTGTTTCCTCCAAAGATATACAACAGTTACTCTTCTTGCAAAGCATTCATGGATTTTTTTTGTATTAATTAAATTCTTAAATGAATATTCTATTTTGGAAATTATCTGAAAAATTATACAAAATACCTACATCTAATACTAAATTAAATCTGATTAAGGTAGAGAAAAGCGTTCCTCTTGATTGTGTGTTGTTTTACGTCCCGTTCGAGAAATCTTTACTCATATAGAGACGTCACCATATACCGGTGAAGGGCTTCAAATTTAGACCTTTACTCGGAGCTCAGGGCCATTGAGCAGTGAGGGTTCTTTATCGTGCCAACGCCTACGTACCATGACCTCCATTTTAAGGTCTCATCCAAAAGACCCGCAACTTTCACTTCAAAGTGCCTAGCGCTTGGCGAAGGAACAGTTGCTACCTATTTTTTATCGACTTAGGTCAGTCGCGGCCGTGATTCGAACACACGACCTTCCGATCACGGAGCGAGCGCCCTACCGAATGAGCTACCGCGACGATCCGTTCCACTTGAAATTCATTGAAAAATATTTTTCATCTCGAAATATACAATTGTTCTCTGCGTTAATAAGACATAGCATACATTGTGATTTCTATATTTTATTTCAAATTTCATTGGTTAACTCCAAACGACAAAATGTTAAGTGATTGTAATCTTGTATAACTTGTATAATACAGGCCCATAACAACAGTTTCAAAAGGAGGGTGTAACTTCCCAAAACAGTCTGACATGCAACAAAAAACAGCATTTAAAGAAAAATTTACTATAGAAAAATACTATACTCAGACACCCTCCACCCCCTGCGTTCCACGGGCCTGTTAAAAAGAAATATTATTACTAATTAATGAATTTACCGGATGACAGTGAAGAAAAAAATTTTGATGTAGTAAGTTATGTTACTACTTTGTTACGGTAAATCAAAATTACACGACATTTTACAGAATATTTTGATGTTCTTTTTTTTTTTATTTTCTTCATGCACTCAAATTCATTGCCGTTTAAACAATGTAGTAGATACCGATGATATCCCGAGTTCGCTAAAATGGATCCCGTGTACAGATGTATTTTAATTATCAATTATACCCACGTATATTGATAGAAAAATACAACAAAGCAACTTCCAAAAAGAGAGCAGCAAGTCCTGAAACAAAAACGCGTCCAGATGGAAATAAAAGTATGAAATATGAAGATAACGAATAGTATTCAATCTCGAAAGTCCAATGAAACGATACAAATTTGGAGCAGAGCAAACACGGACCTCAAAATTTAGAGGAGGGATCAGGTGCCATGGAGGAGTGAGCATGCCTTGCCGAACAGGCAACACCCTTCGTGTGCTCCTTGCCATGATCAGTAAAAAAACCCGGACAAATCCGTAGACAGTTCAGTGTATAAATAATGGCGTAACAATTAGTATGAAAAAGTCAGTCAACATTTGACTTAATGATAGGTTGTATGTGCTGACAAGGTCATTGTATCGACCATAGAACGTATGGAATGACGACTTTAAACGAGACTGCTGATATTCTTGTTTTATCAACTTGTTTGTCAATAACTTACCTCGTTTTAGAAATTGTTCATACGTAGAGCATGCTCTCGTACCGAATCAATTGAGAGATATAAACAGATATAAACACATCTGATTTACCCAGTGGCCGCCTCCTCATTTCCTTCATTTATTGTTATCTTGATGAAAAGAAAGTGGAGATCTCCGATTTTTTTTAATTAGACAAAAGGTAATATAACAAGCAAATATTCTCGAATATGCTGTTGTACAGTACTCCTTAAGTTTCTCCTTCATTACAGTAAATATTTTAGTGAGGAGTAAAGAAAGAGGCTTGGTAGAACATTTACTTGAACCTGCTATGTATCTTATTATGGTGGCCGTCTCATCATTCGCTCCATTTATTATTATCTTGATGAAAGGAAAGTTGAGATTCTTCGATTTTTTTTTATTAGACAAAAGTTAATAGAACAAGCGAATTTAAAGAATTGTGGTATCCCGCTTTCGGTGTCTTAGTGGTTGGGACGTAGTTATTTAGAGTATGAGTGGCATATTGGAAATGTCAATTATAAATTCCTCCTTTCTCACTTCCAAAGTTATCAGCAATGATATTTTTTTTAATTTGGTGAAACTTGAAGATCAAGGTCATTGGGTCAAATATCATAGCACATTTGAAAACGTTTTGTCACAGGCAATGCATTTTTCATGAATGCTTGAACACTGTTCGTTATCTCCATATTTCAAATACGAACACCGTGGTATCTTCTCTCTCATTCTAAAAATATTCTTTTTCTGAAAATTAGGTCAAACTTCAATGTCAAAGGTCTTGTGACAGGTAATGTAAATATTAAATATGGAAGTCTTCTCTCTCTTCTCATTCCAAAGTTTAGAACAAGGTAAAAGTTATTTTAACATTTTTGAAAATTTGGTCAAACATGAAGGTCAGGGAGATTGGATCAAAAATCACAACATGATTGGAAATGTCTTGTCATAGACAACGTACATGTGCAATATAAAAGCCCTAACTTTTCTCATTCAAAAGTTATGACCAACGGTAAAGTCTTTGTAAAAGACAGAGACTGACAGATGAATGAGATTCAATTTCCCCTTGCTTTCGCGAAAGCGGGGGACAAAAATCAAATTCTTGAAATGTAATCCTTGTGAGACGACAGTTAATATGAAAACCAAGGAACATCGTAAATTTTTTTACGTTCATACTGTATTCTGCACTTATATTTGAGATATCTAGTATTGAAATGTTCGAAACATCTTGACACACTCATTTGTTGTTTTACAAATTTAGGCTCAAGTAACTATTTGTTCATGTTTTTCTGTTCTTGACTGTTATGACCGTTGTCTTCGGTATAATTTGGCGTTGTCTGTTTCTTCGCATGATGAAGTAAACGATTCCATTTAAAATGCCCCCTATATTAGAGAACGTCACAGCAGGAACAATGACTCCTAGAGGAACGTTGCCATCGACCTGTTTCCAGGCTCCATAGACAGCTGCAGCCCACCATTGAATGATGAAAGCAAAGACAAAGAGAGACATCGTCCTGGCGGCCTGTAGAGCTTTTCTGTCGTCTTTGTTACCAATAGTAACTTTATCAAAAACACGAAGCAATCAAAACGTGGATATACATGTACATATAAATACTATAAATGAACTTATATAATGTCGCTCATTGTTTTGTATTGTAAGCGAAAATAATACGAAACCATATTGATATCTTACCTGCCAGTTTCTTTGTTTCTGTCCGAATCTTGTACCACGTTAGTGAGTATAAAAAGCTGTTTAGTGTCAATACAGTCAATACTGGGATTGTGGATAAAAACAGAAGTGAAATTTCCCCTGCTACTCCGCATCTGAAAGAAATTAAATCTATAATTTTACGTCCAAGTAAAAGAATTCTCGAGATGCAGGGACATACCATCGTTTTGGATTGAAAGTGGGGGGAGGGGGTCAGCCAGAGAAAAAAATTTCTTACCTGAAAAAAAAAATCGACAAGCAAGCAAACAAAATCCTATTTCGAGGAGGGGGGGGGTGTTTAGGTTCCAACTTCTCTCGGTACCAAATTTTATTCATACACTACTACTAAATCCTTATTAGACTAATTTACAACAAAAAGTGGGAGGGGGGAGGGGCAACCGGCCTTTCAATTAACATTTCAAATAGCAAAGAAAAATCTTCGCAAAAAAATGGAAGGGGAGCTAGCCCCCCCCCCCCCCCCCCGTTGCTACGTGCCTGAGATGTATTATTGATTTAACGGTTATCTTTATGAATCGTTTCACCATGTTTGTTCTTAAGGTTTGACATGTTTCTACAATATTTAAGTTCCTCAAGTCATATTGCGTCAAGTACAGAATGTTTGTAGAACGTGAAAATGAAGAAAAATTAAATGTTTTTGGTCTTGATTTTGTTAATTTGTTTTATTTTATAAATGAATTTCTTTACGTTTTTGAGAATTCCATATTACGGAAATGTCCGATCTATTCATAAATAATAATTGCATGCACGATTGATTTGGCGCTTAGTATAAATTATTATAGTGTTCCAGGCGTGTGTTTGGTTATTGCGAAGTTCGTCACAAGATTATAAGGACATACTTTTATCCCTTCCCATCCCCGCTCTAAGAACTATGTAAAGCATTGTATCTACATCTATACTTATAAATTAATAAATTTTGCAAATAAACTCAGAAACGGGTGTACCAGAGTTCTAATACTAACTCCTCTATGAATACACTAGATACAAGATGATGTCCGTAAACTATATTCAGATTTCACTCGCATATTAAGTATCGTACATTAAATTAAAAGTCTACTTTCATTTTCTATAAACAGCCATGAAATAGCAAAGACCTGAGTACGGTGGCGGTTCCGGTTGGCGGATCTAAGTTACTGGCAATTTTTAATGAAACTGACAACAAGCAATCGTGTATTTATTTCATAAAACATCATCACTGAATTATTCAATCAAAACTTGATTTAAATGATATAAAAGAAATAAGTAGTGATAACCGATTAAAAAGGGAAATGTGCAAATTATTTTCGTCATTCACCGATCTTAATATTGACGGAAGCTTTTAGAACATCATATAGCATCGAACCCGATGTTAAAAAGAAAAAAGAGGCGATTTAGCTGCTTGAACATAAAAGAAGCTTTTGTGTGAATGGTCATTGAAATAATTGTAAATCATTGATAACATTATAAGTTGTTAATATATTATATATCGAAAGACTATTAGTAGGTTTTTCTAATAAATTTATCGGTAAAATAGTATTCCTCTCTGAGAGCATAATGGCAACGAACCCGAAGTGCAATTTGTGCTTCGCAATAAATTTGCTTACACGAACAGAGAAAAAGTAATGAATAAGGTATTGTTCAAATACAATTAAAGCTGTTAAAATTTGTGCTTTAATCAATGCATTTCAGTTTGTTTGTTTGTTTGTTTTTTTTTTGAATACAGTGTTTTGTATTAAATACTCGACCTATTCATAAGGCGTTAACCGCTATAAAAAAAATCGATTTATCATTAAAATGTGCATATTCGCTGCTTTTATCCTTGACAGAACTGAAATAAGAGCACCTGAAGTACAATATCCATAACAGGTATTACAGTTTCACGATAAACGTCAATCAATGAAATTGTTATTTTCCAAGTTTTTACAAGCGGGGGGGGGGGGGGGGGCGTACATCTACTTTTGCTCCAAAGCTAAATGCGGGATTTTTTTTTCTTCCTGTTATAAGCCTGTAGGCTGTCAGTAGAAACTACAATATATATTACTGGAATTTTTCTGTCGGTAGTGGTATAAATGCATTTCCCCGCGCTTGCGCGGGATTTCCTCTAGTTTATATATAGTTCAATGTTTCTTACTTTCATCACTTTGAGCTAATGCATTTCTACGGATAATTTTTTTCTGTTCATTTTCCGATGAATATAATCTCGTCGTCAGTAACCGAACTACTGTACACTAGACGTTTTGATATGACGACTGTCAGTGTTTAGTTTTTTTCCGATAACTTGAACAAGGCGATTATGTTATAAACTAATACTCTCTCAAACGAATGATTTTGTTCTTTTCATGATTTAAATTCAGCTTAGACTGTAAATCTTAAGTATCACTCCGTATGCTTTAAAGGAAATATTTTAATCATTTGTTAATAGTTTTTAAATTGTACAATAAAAATTCTTGTTGAGTCTGGAAAAGAAAAATTTTCAAATAAATTATGAAGCGAGGTAATTGTTGTCAATGGGTAATGCCGGGGATGGCAAGGGATATAACTCTGTAAAGAAGCATGTGTTTTGCGTTTTTTTTTTTTTTTTTTTTTTTTTTTTAAACATGTAACAATTTACATTGAATTTAGTACAAATTTAAAAAAACAAACAAACTCGAAAATTTTTTTTCCGTAGGTTATAAAAATTAAATAAGAAGGACCTTAGACTAAGATTTCCTGATGTATTATTCTCACGTATTTCGTCTGCACATCAACTTTATACAGGGTATTAACCATGCATGTTAACTGTCAATCAAGTTGTACATGTACGTGTATTAAGGTGTATCGACAAGCAAGTTTATGTCAAGATTTTTTTTAACCTTAAGTATCTCATTTTGACATTCAATTGCATTCCACTCGACGTGACACCTTTGATCATTTGCTTACTTACAACAAAGCAAGTTTCTGCCTGCTTTACAAAAATGCTTTTTTTGGTTGTTAGTACGGGAATTAATGTCGCAGCTGTTGTAGAAAAAATACATAACCCGCGTAATTTTTTTTTTTTTTTTTTTTTTTTTTGCAATAGCTGCTACGTCAATTCCCGTACTAACAACCAAAGAAAGACATTTTATTGTTTATTTTATTGTTTATATTTATATCTGTATAAAAAATAATTAAAAGTGGGATTAAAAAGATTAATTATCGTATTATTGATATGTGTGTGTCATAGTACGTTTCATTGATGGAACAACCACTGAAATCCGTACAGGTGATATGCCTGGTGTTGATCATGAACTGATAAACGGCAATGGTTTTCTTTAGAAATAAAGGAGAAAATATTCAGTGGATGTAAATATGTTGTAATCACTTTTAAAATTGCACGTGCAGATTTTCATAACTTATGTAATCGATAACTTAGCAAATTATTTTAAAGAGAATATAACATAACGGGGAATTCTTTATTTTTAACTTTTAAAAGAGAAATATAACCGCCTTGTGTACTACAGGCTTTTAGATCCGCTCCCGAGAATCGTGTAATTCCAATCGATATATTTCTACGAGGCCGTCGGCATGTAAATTTCGTGCACAATTTTTTGAGTGAGCTAAATAATGAATATGTACATGAAAAATAACATGTTTTTCACTGACATCGAATTATAAGCATTGACCATATAAATTTATATTATGTTCATCGAGAAATGAATCTAAAAAACGAATCGCACACTTTTTTTATGAAAGCCTTCGGCTTTCATAAAGTGTGCGATTCGTTTTTTAGATTCATTTCTCGATGAACAAATAATATATATAGTCAATCCTATAATAATTATATATATGTTTTTGTTGATGTGGTTGTTAATTAATATTGATTTATCAATTACAGCATTGAGAAAATAATTATATAAATGCGATTATGTAACGAACGCACCAAATCTAACACATTTGTTGTTATTCAAATTAGTCAAGAAAAGATTTATTTACGGAGGAGTTTTCGAGGGATAAAATAATTATGAAATACCATTCCATGACCCCTTAAAAGCAAGTGACCGTTCAGGCCCATGGGTCTCTTATCTATTTTCAGTGTCAACTGACTGATTGTTGCTATACGATGGTCTTGAAAGCGTATCAACAAATTTAAGAGACGCAGAATACATTTGATTCCTGCGCACTATATATTCAACAAGAACATGTGACTTGCTACTTCGAAATTAATCAGTCACAATTGTTAATTTGTATAATTATTTATACCGTAATGTACTGTGCTACATCATATTCTAAAAGTGGTGTAAATCAAATGTGGATTCTCAAAAACTTTAAAGAACATTTTCAAAATATATAATCGCAGAATTTTTCAACAAGTTGGTAACATCAAAACCTATGACTTTTCGATACTTTATAAAAACATTATTCAGGGGTCTTGTTGTATGCCCTGTTGATAGATTTGTATTATCGTATTTTTTTAAAGATCGATCACTGTTCACCTTTATCGTTACCTTTTACTTTAATCAGTGAATAATTGATTTCAAATTAATTTTAAGTTAGATACAAAAGATTAACACAGTTGTACTTTTTACAAGCTCATTTTAAATCGTTTGTCTCCAATTGGCCTTTTCAATTGTCACCATTTTCTGACGGAAAATAACAATTTTTGTCAGATTTCCCCTTCTATAGTATATGTCAAAATATTCAACAGGACAGTAGCTTAAATTATTGGAAATAAGAGGTATATGGTAATACACTTAGTATAAAAATTTCATCATTAAATTAGCAAAAACTAAGATAAATAATGAAGAAATCCATGAATAATATAATTCCACATGGTATTCTCAATTTTTGACAGTATTTAATTTCCTTATAGAAATTAAATGTATATATAAAGAAACTCTTTCTATTGAAAAAAAAGATTTTATTTTCTTTGACAGGGACGATATAGAGTAGTATGCCAAAATAAGGCAACAGTTGAGAAAAAAAAAATATAAAAATTATGTTGTTCAAAGACGAGAGGAATAGGACGATCAGGGATCATCAAAATACTCTGGTTAGAGTCGGACACAATTTCTCTATTTACTTGCTTGTATGTACCAGTGCTAACTCCATGCACTTGGCCCCTTGTTTTTTTTTTGTTTGTTTGTTTGTTTGTTTTTTTTTTTTAACATTAAATGAACCAATATAATTGTATTTTTGTGTCTTTTATTTTAGTTATCTATTATTTATGCCTACCCGACTAATAAAAACCATAAAAGTACTTTTTGTATTATGGAAGAAGCACTATTGCTCATCATAACCATGTACTTTGTTATCCAGAGAAGAGAAGAAAATTTTTTAAACAAAATTAATGCATATGACTAAATGATCAATAAAGCCCTCTCCTAACACCATAATTTTATTTTGTTTATTAATTAAATTACTGTTAGTTCTACTTCGATTATACAAGGTTAATAATGTATAAGTATTTATTTATATAACATGACGATCGAATATAAACTGTGGGATTTGAACAATTTCCTCAGCCGCTGATATCCACTTGAAAGAAAACGTGAAAAAGGAGGTACCTAGAATTTCAGTGAAATCATTGTAACAAAATCTATTAAGATATTTCTCTTTCGATCATGAAATTACTTACGATACACCAGTCGGCCCCATTTCATCTGCTATGGTTATACCAAGGCATTCTACGAACGGAAATCCAAATGTGAGTGAGAGAAGTTTCCAATCACACTTTCCAAGGTCTATATTCTTATCAAACTTGATCAAGGCAAAGGCGTTTATGGCAATAAGAGATACCAGCAACATTTGGGCTGATATAAACATGAACATAATAAAGCCGTAGTATTCACACAGTTCTATTGGATGAACGTGGTCTTTAGCTGTCAGCATATGAAAGTGATCCATAAAGTGAACAAGGTTGAAAAAACCATCGCACACAGCCAAATAAACTACAAAACGTTCACACTTTGACCATGATTTGAAAAAAGTACGTGCAGATTTAGATCGGAAAGATACCACTAGTGTAGCAACTACCGACACAAAACTACATACTATACAGATGAGAGCCGAGGAGTGAATCAGATAAAAATTGTGTGTTCCAAGTCCTACTACAGGTACTTTGTAGCGAAAGTCCTCTACAAGGTGTTTGTAAATCAAAGTGTTGTTCCTCGACATCCTTCAATACGAAACCGAGACAGATGGTAATCTAAAAAAAAAAAGAATTCGAACAGAGTTGAAGTAGTGGCACAATATATATCCTAAAGGTACTAATGGCTCGTAATAAACATTGGCTCTGAGTCCAATAATCTATAGTCAACAAATAAATCTAAAGCACTTACCATGTCAAGTTGTGAAAAACACAATTGAATGCCAAAGTCATTAGAATACCACATCAGAAAAGATATCAGAATATTGTTGCATGCTTTTTTCATATGAAGCAGAATTTATTCAAAAACATCTACATGAAAAGAAGTGTCCTGCTGTGGTCTTCAATTCAACATTTAGATATATCGATGACGTTTTATCAATTAACAATATTCATTTTGATTTTTACGTTTATTCAATATATCCCTTTGAACTCAAAATAAAAGATACCGCAGAGTCTGACATATTTGTTTGAAATTTGGACATTTTATTAGAAAAAGACGTTAATGGTAACCTAACAACAAAACTTCATGAAAACGTGATGACTTCAACTCTTCTATCGTCAACTTCCCTTATTTATGTAGTAATATATACCATTATCACTTGAATGTAGAGTTTATGTCTTCCAGTTCATTCGAAATGCAAGAGCATTTTCTACGTTCGAACACTTTCTAAAACGAAACAAGCTGTTGACAAATACGTTAATGAAACAAGAGTATCAACAGTCTCGTTTCAGGTCAATATTTTGCAAAATTTTATGATCGACCAAATGACCTTGTCAGAAAAAAAATCTATCATTAAGTCGAATGATGACTTACGTTTTTTCATAAAAATTGTTAAGCCATTATTTTCACTGAATTGTCTACGGATTTTTTCGTTTGCCCGATCATGACAATGAACAAATGGCGGGTGTGACCAGTCGACAGGGGTTGATTACTCCTCCATGGCACCTGACCCCACCTTTGATGTTTTAGAGGTCCATGTTTGCTATGCTCCTCATATATATATATATATATATATATATATATATATATATATATATATATATATATATATATATATATATATATAAGGACTACAAAAAAACCAACAACACTGTATAAGGGACTTCCCGAAAATTTGACAATTTCTATTGTTTGTGTCGTTGGTCTTTTAGAATGGAGATATCTATCTATATATAGATATCATATAGATATTATATAGATATTATATATATATATATATATATATATATATATATATATATATATATATATATATATATATATACACTAATAGTTTATCAATAAATATTATTATTATTTGATGCAAAAGACATGTGATAACAACTTGAAAGGTGTCATAATGCAGATATGATGAGTGAAAGAAATGCACATGAAAACAGGTTCTTTATTATTATTATTTTTAGAGGTGATGTACTTAGAATGAATGCCTCTAATTATTACCATTTCCATTTTGTAGATATTAGCTCCGAGCACGATTGATCAGTTTTTGTAGTACGACAGCTGGGAAATCATTGGAGGATTAGATCTGATTTAGGTGACCTGTGTTTTAATGGATTTAAGCATTAGCAAATTTGCTTGAATAAATATTAAAATAATTTATTTTTACGATCGCGAAGAAATATAATCCTGTGTCATAAATATGTTGAAAACCACGTTTCGATTACAAATCAATATGAAAATGAATTGACTGATGTTAAACTACAATATATTTCCTTATATGATAACATATGCAAGTTTCAAAGCAGATTAATGAATGTGTAAAACATTTCTTTTCATCGATCAGTATAATGTATACACAACACCCGCATACATGCAAGGAGCACGCCGTCATGGTAGCTCAGTCGGTAGAGCGTGATCGGAAGGCCGTGAGTTCGAATTTCGGCCGCGACTGACCTAAGTCGATAAAAAATAGGTAGCAACTGTTCATTCGCCAAGCGCTCGGCACTTTGAAGTGAAAGTGCGGGTTCTTCGGATGAGACCTTAAAAACCGAGGCCCCGAGTGCAAGCAGGCGTTGGCATGATAAAGATCCCTCACTGCTCAATGGCACTGAATGCCGAGTAAAGGTCTTAATTTGAAGCCCTTCACCAGAATATGGTGACGTCTCTATATGAGAGAAAAATTCTCGAATGGGACGTAAAACAACATTCAATCAATCATGCAAGGAGCGGAGGTCATGGCCTAGCTAGAATAATCTAAGCCGTTTTTTTGGGATAGGCCCTCAGCTGCAGCGCAGTTAAAATATACGCCCCATAAATGAATACAGAGGAGTTCCAGAGAAAATAATCCCCAAACTTATCATAACAAACCGTTTTGAGCTAATTTTTGCCTTCCATCCAACAAAATTATTGTACATAGAGAAAACACATTTAATATTTCTATCTTCAAATTTTTCGACATGTTGACATCGGTACTCTTTGAATTGTTCATAGTGTATGCTTAGCTGAGATTTACTGCCCCTTTTTATTTTCCTACATTGTCAACACAACAGTATGAATTCTATCGTTAAACCGGGTCCAAATGACAATGTTAAATTTAAGAGATAAAACATTCTATCTAGTTGGAACAGTCATCAACATGCATTGCACGTCAAAGGCAATAGCAGTGAGACTACATGTATATGTATAAAATATGTAGTGTCAATTGAATTTTCTTTATTACCTAAAAATTAAATTCTATGGTATGAAGGGTTTTGATGTATCTAATATTTGAATCTGATAAAAAAAAAAGGGGGGGGGGTGTTTCAGTTCCTCATTGACAATAAATGTATCTAGTAGGTTTTGAAAACCAGGTCTTCCAACAATCTGGAATTTCCCTGGGTACTAATCGTACCGCTTTACAATCAGACCTGTTTTATGAAGCAGAATTTATTCAGTGGATATCGGTCACTAATTAAAGAACCTTTCATTTCTTATTTCCCCTAGTTTGTATTCTAACGACTCGACGACGTTCTATCAATTATTAATAATTATTCATTTTCGTCATACTTTGGTTCGATATATCCCACTGAACTCGAAATAAAAGACACCACAGAGTCCGACACATTTTTTATGGATGTTTTTACTAGAGAAAGAAATTGATGGCAGACGAAATCTATAACTTCATTATAATCTTATGACTTTACGATTCTATCGTCATCTTTTCTTATTTGTATAGCAATATATCGTTATTATTTGCATATGATGCTTATGTCTGCCATCTGTTTCGATACGCAAGAGCATAATCTGTGTACGAAAATTTCTAAACTGATGCAGGTTATTGACAAATGAGATGATATTACTTAAGTCAACATTTTCGTTTAAAGCCAACCTATACAAATTCCATAAATGATACAAGGACCTTGTTTGCAATTAAAGTTTGCAGTTTAGTTGAATGTTGACTGATGTATATAATTGGTAAAAATTGTTATGCTATTGTTTTTCATACTGAATTGTCTACGGACTACTCCGATTTATCCAATCAAGACGAAGAGCTCACGGCAATTGTGACACATCGACAGGGGATGCTTACTCCTTCGTGGCACCTGATCCACCTTTAATGATTTTCGAGGTCTGTTTGTTCTGCTCTCAATTTGTTTTTTAATCTAAAATATCGATGTGTGGCGTTGAATATGTTAAAAAGTATTATGAAGTCCTTGATTGACTGATTGTATGTTATTTAACATCTCGTTTTATAACTGTTGTATGTAGAGACCAAGGCGAAGAAACAGCAATGAATAATTTATGGGAATTCGACTTTATATGCGGACTTTTAAAACATTTTTAGGTCACCTGAGTCACTCAGGTGTCCTATTGCTATCTGTTTTCGTCCGTCGTCGTGCGTTAACATTTATTTGAACATTTGAACATTTTCAGGTTCTTCTCTGAAACAGCTCAATCAATTTCAACGAATTTTGGCATATAGTTTCTATGGGTGAAGGGGAACAAAATTTGTGAATTTTATGGTCCCTGCCCCCCCCCCCCCCCGTGGCCTGATGGATGGGACTAAAACTACCAAAATTAATGCAGTCAAACTGTTGGCATGATTGTAATAAGCATTGAGCCCTCTACCAAATTTGTATGGGGTTTTAATGATTAAATAGGGCGGGGTCTAATGATAATGTATTAAAAATGCAATAATTCTTCAAAAATCATCTCCTCTGCTCCTGGGTATTAAGCCGATGAATTAAGTACATAGTTATGACGAGGAAGGGTGCTTCTTCCAAAATTGTGAATTTCATGACCCCAGGGTCAGGGGTACTGGGGGGGGCTTATATATTATACACTGAAAATGAATTAATTCTTTGAAAATTCTTCTCTGCCCCATGGTATTAAGCAAACAAATTAAATGCATAGTTATGATGAGGAAGGGTGCCTCTTCCAAAATTGTGAATTTCATGGCCCCTGGGTAAGGGATTCTGGTGTTTGGTCGGGGCTCTAATGAATATATAACAAAAATGCATTAATACTTTGAAAATCTCCTCTGCCCTGAGTATTCAGCAAACAATATAAATGTAAATGTATAAATATAAGTGCCTTTTCTCCGCAAACAGAGTTCAAAATTGGTAATAAGTGAAACAAATGAGAGTTAATCCACTTTGCTAAATTGTGAGAAATCTTTGTATGTAATTTTATTAGTAGGTTATTTGATGGAATGAGAAAACAAGGAAGAATGTTATATATATAGAAACAAAATAAAAATGAATGTTTGGTTCGAGCAAAAGTCGGATTCTTGCCTGGAAAGCAGCATAAAAGATTGAAATAAAGAATATCTACATGAATGTAGCAAAAGGGTCAGTTGTACTTAGTCTGTGCAGTGTTCTACTGGACATTTGACGTCTTATTGTCAGTCAAATTTCATGGAGATCAGAGTATAGTTGGCAAGAGACTGGAAAAAATTGATTTATACTTTATCAAAGTTAGCAGAGAGCCAGGGTGATTAGGGGGCATGTTGTAGTTTCTGACAATGGTAAATACCCGTGTTGTATACTTAATCAAGTAGAGAGTGCTGGTAACAGGTATTACCAAGTTTTTGGTATAGCCAAAAGG